GCTTTAGCATAAAATAGGGACTCAGCACTTTTGAAGTCTGGATATTCACATGTGATTTTCTCAGTTTCTTGCCCTGTTTCATAGTTTCCATTTTATCTTTTCACATTTAAATGTTGAGGGTAAATTAAACAATACAGCTATGAAAGGTATCCTTATTTTTATATTTATAGTTTAAAAGCTAGAATGTGAATCTCCATGTGTCAAGATTTTCATAGTCCCTGAAACTATATATCCTATAGATTCTCTAATGTGGCTTTTTTTTTTTTTTTCTTTTTCTGTAGGTTGCTGCTGAGAACAGTGCTGGTGTTGGAGTATTTAGTGATCCTTTTCTTTTTCAGACTGCAGAAAGTGGTAATATTAATAAAGCTGCTAATTATTTTAACTAAAGCTGCTCTAATTTGTTCAATTAAAGTATCCATGACACATTTTATACTTGAACAAATTCTAATGTGTTTAGAACAAAAGCCTAATTCTTATTCTCTCAGTGGGAAGGGTGCATTTTGTCCTGTTTGCTAGTGACAGCATTTAGGGTGTGCACATACGGGGGTTTCTTAGAGGCAAAGTCTGTTTCTGTTGGGGTTTTCCTATGCCAGTTTCTAGGTAGGCTGCTTCCAGAAAGCAAGGTCACAGGAGAGCAGAGCTACCTATCAAGTGGACCCATCTATTATTGCCTGCAGCAGTACTAGGAGACAGACTTTGTTGTGGCATTGCCTACTTCTGTAAAGCTGTGTTTGTTTAGTACCAAAGTCAAGCGCCCTCTCCAAGAAGCCCAGCATAGAGTGTGTTTTACTAAGTTTTCACTTCTTAATTCTGAAGAAAAAAAAATTAAAAATAATATGTGGCTGAAATGAAAATTCTTGATGGTTTTGAAGATTAAAAAATTATAATTATAGTCATAATTTGCGTAATCTTTATTTATGAATTTGGTGTTTGTAGTCTCGCTCATGCTCCAGGAGCAGTTGTGTCTTGGCTGAAGAGCTGGCACCAGGCCAGTTACGCTAGGGTGAACCAGTCTCAGTGGAATATAGAATTTGTGCTGCCATGGCAGTGACCGTCTCTCTGTGTTTGGGAATCCTGGTTGGTTTCTGTAGCTGTGCAAACTGCAGAGTGACGCTTCTCACTTAATGGCAGGACATCATCGCTCTGCATGAGATTTCTGAGATAGTACAATGACTTATGAAACCAAATATGAGAAAGGGTAGTAAACTTGCCACGTGAAGCTATGCAAAATCATTATTCTTCACTATTCTTTGTACGTTATTGCTGGTAGAAAACTGTTTCCATAAGCTTTATTTACTTCTGTTTGACAGAGGACAAAACTATCATTTCTCCACAGGAGAACATTAGCTTTTTACTTTTTGATGCATTTCTGCTTACATTTTTATTAAAGCTAAAATCCTTTATGATAAATGTAGTTGGAAGATTCCTTCAAATTCTAGGTGAGGGTTATGTGTCACTGATACTACATTTACCTTCCTAACTTTTTTTTTTTACACTCTTGCTTTGATGGTTAAAGAAAGCCCAACATCTTGATCAACACGAAGAGGTGCAGTTTGAAGTAGGAAAATTAGCCGGAAGATGCAATTGTCTAAACATACAGGCTGTAGTCTGGGAGAAGGGGAGGAAGGTGAGAGGTTTGCAAGAGATTCTGCAAGAGATTCAGCAGGGCATAAGCAAGGACCAAATGTGAGGCTTGGAGGAGCTGTCTCAGTTCACCTGTGGAAGATCTGTCATTGCAGACCATTGTGTCTTTTTAAGGCAGCATAACCCTTTTCTCCTTTGTACTAGGGCTAGCTATTGCAGGAACTGCTGCTGATCGTGCCATGCAAATACGACTAAGAGAGAGCCACAGTGCTCTAATTCACAGGAAAGTTCAGATAGCGTGTCAAATTTCATTTAGATTCTGCATCCCACTCCTTTGTGCTGTGGTTAATACAGGTGACAAAAGGCCCTGGAAACTGTCACTGATAGGAAGAACACCATTTCTGCAGTAATAATGAATAATCAAATTAAATTGAATTATATAAAGCTACCAAAAATCTATGTCCAGCTGAAAAGATGACACAGGTAAAGTGATATAAAACACCCAGTGCTGTCATATGCTCTTAAACAAAAACAGATGGGCAAAAATTTGCTACTTCTGACACAACAGATGAGTTGTTTCTAGGAAGAATACTTTAAAGTTGACCAAACCTATTACTATGTTATTATGAGGCTGAAATAGTTATATTTCTTACTTAAACTAGATTGGAATAGGGCTGGTTGCATATCAGCTATTTTACATGTGTTCGTGAATGGTTGTTATTTATTTGCTTTAGGATTTGGAAGCTAGAAATGGCATTACAAAAAAAAATGGGGATTTTTTTTTTTTTTTCCAGTGCTGAGAAGAAAAGTATGTCTCACTGCTTTTGTTTGTTTTGTTTTCAAGCTCCAGGTAAAGTAGTGAATCTCACAGTTGAAGCCTTAAATTATTCAGCTGTAAATCTGATCTGGTTTCTCCCTCGGCAACCAAATGGAAAGATAACTAGTTTCAAGATTAGTGTGAAACATGCAAGAAGTGGAATTGTAGTGAAAGATGTCTTGGTTAAAGTAGAGGACCTTCTGTCTGGGAGGTTACCAGAATGTAATGTAAGTGCTATAAACCTTTTAAATTGGAAATAGACTAAAGCCACAGAATATAGTTTTACATTTGAATTTTGAGACATAAAAAATGTGGAGGCTCGCTTTTCCGAAGAATCTCAAATACTTTACAAACTTAGGCCCAAGGCAGGATATAAAGGTTGAAAAAAACCCCTTCCATTCAAAAAAGTTTAAATGGAATACTTTTCCTTGAAAAGCTCAGTTTAATCAAAGTAAAAATGTTAAGAATTTAGTGTCCTTTCAACAAAAAATAATGAAATAAGTAATTTTTGAGCTTTTTTCATCTTTCAATTTTTTAATTTTTGTTTTCTACAGCATTCAATTAGAAAAAGCAAGAATTGGTGGCATATTTTGGTCAGTGCAGACATATAATAATGCTTGTAACTTATTTTTACGTGTAGTATAATGCCTTTTATCTTTTAAATGTATGCTTTATTCTGTATCACATTTCAACAGTATTTAAATACTTTTCCTACCAAAATAGAGACCCATGATTAGCAGTGATTTTTTGAAAAGATGTTTATAGTCTGAGTTGTTCTTAAAATAAGCATTCATTGAAATATTTCTGAATTTTGACTATTCATTGGATTCAGATCTGTAACCAATGTGTACCTTTCAGAATTTCTTGAAGAACATTCTCTTTCCCAGTATTTATTCTCCTTTTCCTCTTTGTGATTACTCAGATGTCAAGTTGCCTAACATTTTTTCTCTTTTTAAATTTTTTTTTCAGCATGCTAGGCTTAGTACTTTAATGAAAAGTGCAGTTTTAAATGACAAAAATTATCAGAACTGTGTTTTCAGATTTTATTTGGAATTCTTAAGCATTGTGAAGGTTCCCAACATCAGGCTGATTTAATTCATCGTTGAGAAGGGAGACTGCCACCTACTGAATCATAAGCATCGGTTACTGTAATGTCTAGCAGTTTATAGAGGTGTCTCCTGACAGTATGGATTAGGAACCCCCTGTCTGGTTTTATCCATGTTATATGGATATAAGTATGCTATATATACATATGCATATACATACATATAACACACGTGTGATGTAGAAGGAAATCACTAGGGGACTTTTGTTTAAGAGAGAGACTGAACGCTGAAAATAGAATCTGGGAATAATTAAATGAATCCTAGAGAGTTGCTTCTGTTCAGTCAGATTTGAGATCTTTTGGGATAAGGCAGGAAACTATAATACCGTCACTAACAGGTTGTACTAGCAATGTCAACTAGTGGAATGATAACCTAAATTTGGAGATTGAAATACAAAAAGGAGAACCAATTTGGGTAATTTTATTTCAAATGTAGTCTGTCTTTTTTGATCTACATATATATATATACAAAGCCAGGTTATAGATGCAGCTTATCATGTTTCATATTTTGTCTTTATAGGATAACAGTGAATCATTTTTGTGGAGTACTACCACTCCTTCAACTACTTTTGGCAAATCCACAGTTCCTTCACGGACTACAGTTACACCAAGTACAGAGTCATCAAGTCAAACAAGCTCTGTTTGGAATGAGCCGATTAGCTTCGTTATAACTAACCTGAGGCCATATACGACCTATCTTTTTGAAGTCTCTGCAGTCACCACGGAAGCAGGCTATATTGACAGTGCGATTGTCCGGACACCAGAATCAGGTATGCTTTGAAATGGAAATAAAGTTCTCAGATTTATATATAAATTTCAAGATATCAGTTTGAAGTTATGTCCAAATCTGCCTTTATCTATATCACAATCTTGTATTTACATGATTACTGAATTTTACCTGATGGAATCAACTGAAAGTGTATATAATTAATGTATCTAATAATGTACAGTGAGTGGGAGTTCAGTTATTATTAAAAGTCAAAGATACTGAAGTGTGCTTGGGACAGATCAAATTTTAGGAAAAACTGAGAGTGATTTAAGAACTGCAATTAATTGCACAATGGAAGGAGAATTAAAAATACAGATGAAGGGAAAAGGCTCAGGCGTAGGATTCAAAAAGTGTGTGTATTGTGTACATAGCAATGCACTCGAAGATTCTTTGCCTTTGTGGAAAAATAAGCAGTATAAAGAAAACTCCTGTCCCATGGTTCCTCAATCTGGACCTATTGCAGAAAGTTTTTCAGTGATAAAGAAATCTTTAAACATTAGTGTCACATATTAGGTCTGGGCTGGCCGCTAATGAATGGCAGATGCTCTCAGTTGACCCCTCTCCCTCCCTAGAGGGGAGAGGGAGAGAGAATAAGGGAGAGAGCCTTATGGACTGGAAAAGAAAACTAAAACAGCTTTAATGAAACAATAATAATACGAAAAGGTAAATAGTATCAATAAGAAAATAATAAAATATATACAAATATGCACGAAACCAATACTGAACCCCACCCCCTCTGATGACAATACGTCACCAGTGACGCTTCAGGGCTGGCACTGGGGCAGTCCCAGGCTGGACTCGGCTGCAGACGGGATGCAGGAGCTGGATTCAGGAATGCACGGATCGATATCACAGACAGAAGAACGGATGCAGTCCTCCTTGGATTTCGGCCGTCGAAGAAGAAAAACTTAACACTTGTGATCCCTCAGCTTTATACTGAATATGGCGAGTATGGGATGGAATACTTAGTTGGTCACGTTTGGGTCACCTGTCCGGCTCGCTCCTCCCTGCAAGTGCAACCTTTCACTTCGCTCTGACCCTTTTTCACTTCCGGCACTTCAACATGGGATGCAGAATTTAGCGGTGACCTTGGTTGCTTACAGAAACGAGTATAAGCAAGGGCCTCCCTGCAGACCATTCCTCAGTACTAACTATAAACATCAGGCCTTATCACTGCTAGAAGCAGTCACTGTGTGGAAAAACATGCTGCTGTTTCAGAAAGTGCGGTTAGTTAGAAGAGATTTAACTGAAAAGTAAAATCACCAAACAGAATTACTTCTGTTTTATCTCAAACCAGGACAACTAGGAAAGTTGATTTTAGATTACCTGCAAGGCACTGAGACATTAGAACTGGAAAGGAAGGTTGTCCAGGAGCAGGAGTTTTATAATGGTCAGGTAGTGGGCAACATTATTAATAAAGCCGTACCGAAAAGGTGTTCTGTGACTTTCTGTTTGCTAGTACTTCATTCTTTTGCCTGACACAGTTTGTTACTGGTTCCCCTTTCATGCATCCAGAATTCATAGCACTGTTCAGATGAAAAGAAATTTAATTCCCTCCTAACACTGTTCATTTGCTTTGCTAGAATTAAAATACTCTTAGTTTGCTGTTCTGTCTAGGGTTAATGAAGTTTTGGATAGTTTCTGTTCTAATGATCTCGGTGCTAATTTCCAGTTTATTTTTAACCCTGTTAACATCCTAGGATAGATGCACTGGTAATAAGAAAACCCTGGAAAGTGATGAAAAGCTTATGCAATGGGGTGTAGTTCTACCAAATGTATAGAAAGATGTCAGCTGTTTGAAAGATCTTCAGTCCTTGAGTACTGGGAGCCTGTACAGCCAGGGTTCATCCATTAAAGTACAGTCTGGGAAGAGGGAGGTTGGCTTACCGGTCAGTGCGGGTGGTGGATGTGTGATGTGCACAGGGCCACAGGCACAGTCAGCCCTCATGGCCCAAGCCTCAGTAAGTCCTTCCTCTTAGCAGCACGCTGCTTCTGGATCCACCTCTATTAGATCTTCACCTTATGAGCGTTCAGATGCTTGTTAAAGTGCTCCCCTGTGAGTCCTGCATGCCTGTGTGCCAAGGACCCTGTTCAGAGGCTGGCCATAGAGTTCGTTGTTGATTTGTTAGGAATGTTTTATGAGTTAATAGATGTTTTGCATCATTATTATTTTCTTTTTTTCATTTGCTTCAGTGGGAAGGATGTTTTTAGTTGCTAAAGTTTGGTTTTGTCTATATAGCTTATATAGTAAAATCATGATTTGAGAGTGGTGCTTTGCAATTATTGTAACAGGTTCCCGCTCCAGTATGAAGCACCACCATCCAGTCTCTCTGTAATTACTGAAATCCACTTCCCTTCTCCAAATGTCTTGATTCTTACAAGACACTCTTTAGTGTCACACTAGCCACCCCCTCCAAGTTACCAGTTTATCATATGGCCAAACTCTCACATTTCAGTCCTCCACTGGAGTGTCTGAGGTGAGGCTTGAGGGAGGGGAATTGATGGATTATAGTTTGTGATAGCAGGTGAGTGGATGGAGAGCACATTTATTTCAAATATCACTTTCCTGCTCACACAGGAACGTGACACAGAGTTGCTTTCATGCCCGTTTTGCCACAGATGGTGTTATATGTCTCTACTGTATAGCTCATTGCTGTTCAGTTTTAAAATGCTGAAGATTATTTCTGTCCCCTCCAATCAGAATTTTCTGGTTGAAGCTCTCCTGTGTTCCTGACAAAGATTATATTTTTCTTGCTCTGATTTTTGAAAAAGAGGCTACTTCTTTAAAGTTTTTGCAAGCTTAATTGGTTCCGGGTTTAACTTTTTGGATAGTAATGTACATCATTAGCGTCAGAAGTCTTCAATATGAAGTATTGTCAATGTGAAAAAAGAACCTGTTCAAGGAAGAAAACCATACCTAATGTCAGCTCTGTATTCCTGAGCCTCACAATCATATTTGAGCATCTTCTGTATGTAATCTGTATCGTGATGAAATCTATGCTAAACTTGGTAAATTGCCTCTCACCCTTGTCTTTTAAGGATTATTTGCTACTACCAGCTCTCTCGATATCTTTTGCAAGCATTACCCTAAAAAATAAATGAAATAAAAATAAGCCATTGAAATGAGATGTGCTTTTACGTTGGCTTCCTTCAGAATATTTAATGTTTATGTTTAAAATGAGTTGTCTTTGGGTTTAGGTTCTTTGGAATCCTAATATCAATTATTTTATGTTCAAAGACTTTTTCCAATATTGTTTAAGTTCCAGAAGATCCACCACAAAATTTTGCCAAGAGCAACATTACAGCGAAGTCTTTCTCAGTGATGTGGGACCCACCAACCATAGTAACAGGAAAGTTTAGTTACAGAGTTGAGCTGTATGGACCATCTGGTAAGTCTGAATTTATGTTTTTATTTCTTTTTCTTTGCGTGATTATTTCCTTGCACTTGCGTTCTTAGTGTCACTGCCAATCCAGAATGAATATTTGAAAGCAGTGCCAGGTATCCTTTTTACTATTAGACTTTGTAACGGTTTTTAGATTATTTTTAAGGGAAAAGTCTGTCCATCATGAGGGAGAGTACACAATTAAATTCACATTAGATATTCTTAAGAGTGGAGGACACCAACTTTCCTCACTCTTTCAGAGATGTGACAGGCTAAGCTCACAGCTGAATTAGGGTGCTTATGTATCCAAATTATTCTGTGTCTTACATTTACTTGTTTGTCTTTCTGTTAGACTTCTGCAGGATTTTCATACCTGTGTAGTATACAATCAACTGTATGAGTCTGATGTTTTCGCAATTTGTTTGACATGGACATGTATACATAAAGAAATTCTGTAACTGCCTGTAGTTACGTAAGAAGTTAATGAGTTGTATACTAATGTTTTTAAGAGACCACAGAGGAAAAGGAATAGAAATTAAGTTATAAATGAAAAAAATCCCTTCCTCTTAAAACCCATATCTTCTTGATGTGTTTTTTTGTTTGTTTTCATGGGTTTTTCCCCAGACATTCAGTATTATTTTCAATGAAGTTGATGCCAAATTAGCTTTTTTACAAACAAATTTGGCTTTTCATTGTTCATCATCCTGGAAAGCAGCTGTGGAATTTTTGAGCTAGAATCTCTTCATTTTTCATTCCAGGTCATATTCTGGATAACAGCACAAAAGATCATAAGTTTGTATTTAGTAACCTTGTGCCGTTTACAACATATGACGTGTACGTCGGTGCTGAGACAAGTGCTGGGATGGGGCCAAGGACTAATCTTACAGTTTTCACTCCTGCAGATGGTAAGCAAGCATAGAGAAGTGAAGTAGATGTGTGCAAAGTCGTTTCAGTTTTCCGTTCAGTCTTTTAGGTACTTTGCAAAGGAAAGAATGGGTGTGTTGTGAGAGTGTTACAAGGGAGGGATAAAAAGCTAATGAAAGAAATTAGCTGAAAAATTAATATGTCGATTTATGTCTTCATTTTTGTCCAGTTCATACACCATCACTAAATTTACTTGCTCTCAGAAGCCTTCGGAGATTGTGAAAGAAATGTAGTTTCTGCCTGAATGAAAGTAATTTTTAGATCCAGTAGTTAAGTTGCATGCCCCCTCCTTACCCGTTAGATGGCAGCAAGCGGACAAGAAAGAACAGCTCAGGATTCCCCAAGGCTAGTTTGTTCAGCCGCAATGTTTCTTACTAAACCTTTCGTTTGACTAATTTTCGCCAAACCCAAGGCCCCACGCCAGTCTCTCATGGAGCCACCGTTACCGAGGACCGTAGCTCTGAGACAGACCCAGCATCGAGATCTTGTCCTGGGTCAGTCAAGTGGTTGCTTCTGCCCCTGAGCCATCTGCTACTACTCTGTTGTTTGGGAGTTTTGCCTCCCAATAGTTGACTCACCACGTGAGAGTCCTTTGCTGCATAGAAATGCAGTTTTATCTTGCATGTGTGCGAGATTGTGCAGGATTATTGGCCTGCATCTGCTTGGACCTATGGTCTAGGAGTGTACTTGGTAGAGTAGGGTTGATGGTTGGACTCGAAGATCTCAAAGGTCTTTTCCAGCCTGAATGATTCTATGATTCTATGCAGCCAGAAAAAATTGAGAATCGGTGTGTCATAGGAAGGCAGTTTCAAGGTGGTTATTTCTGTGTTATGTTTATGCCACACAGCACAAATTTAGAAAATCTTTCAATCAGTGATTGCAGCAATGCTTGCTGTCAAGGTGTTACAGCAGGAGGAACACCTATTCTTTTTTATTCTGTTCTTTCCTGAAGTATCTGCTTTTGTCAGCTCTGAGAGACAATTTCCAGAGATGGCCTGCCTCAGTAGTCATGCTTATCTTCTGTCTAAACTCTCTGTCAGAAGCCAAAGTGGGTTTTGGTGTTTCTTAGTGCTTTTTTTTTTTCAGAGTGACATAGAATGTCTCATTTTAATGCCAAATCTACAAATCTTCATTATGCAAGTAATTTCAAGTTTGTATTTTTCTGAGGTATATTAGGAAAAACATATTTTTCATATCGAATCTGAATATCTCTCTATTAAATATAAATGCATCTGATCTCTGTCGGTCCTATGTACAGTACCATTATTACTGCATAGTTAAAGAAGAAATTGAACTAAAACCTGTTACAAAAAAGAAATTAACAAGATGTATCACATTCATTGTTTTTTCTTAGCTTTTTACTTCATTCTTGTATGGTTTTGATGAATTTAGAGTTAAGCTTTCATTTTCAATATACTTAGGATTCCATGTAAGAAGCTACCAAAGGTCTAAGTAATCAGGCTAGCATTGACTTCAGGAGAGCTATCCTGATTTACATCATCCTAGGATCTGACCATATTCATACATATGTCATATATGTCAAAAAACTGTGTGTATATTTTCAGAACTGTAACTTGTTTGCTAAGAAACATGTGAAGTAACTACCTGCAGAGGAGCGACCCAAAAGATAAGAATGTGGAATTTGATTAAATGCCTATTGTACTTTGCAGGCAGTGCTGAAAAAACTTGTAATAATCACAGATGTTTAATTAAATCAAGTTTCTTATTGAATATTTAGTCCCAGGTGCTGTATCAGATTTGCATCTAGCAGAAGTGGAAGCCACATATATAAAAATTGTTTGGAGGAAGCCGCGACAACCAAATGGAATCATTACCCAGTACAGAGTTAAAGTACATGTGCAGAAAACAGAGGTGACTCTGGAAAACACTATTCTTGAAGGGAAAAATAAGGTATTCGGGTTTTTTAATACAGGTTTCTTTGCTAGGTTAAATTTGCTTCTCTACCTTATCTGATAGATGCAAAATGTGGAGTTAGACACCGCAGAGGAGTTGTCAGTGCTTTTAAAAGCTACCTTCATCACGCCACCCTCTTTCTCTGGCTGGGTTTTAAAGAGATTCCAATAATGCTGTTTCCACCACATGAAAACAATAAATAATTCTGGCAGAATGATCCAGACTGCCTTAGCTACTGAAGGCAGGAAGCCATAGCCCACAGTCTTGTCCGTTCTAGACCTTAAGTTCTTTGCAGCATAGGGTGACCTAACAGTTAAGAGTACACATTTCGGTGCCTAGATTGATACATAGCCACTCAGGCAAGCTCCTAGAAGATGTGGGTATGAATCCTACAGAGAAATGAATTCAACAGAAATCTCCCAAGGCTGGTTAAGTGCAGTACATGCAAGGCAAACACCTCTAGTCTTTCTGCCCCCACCTGTATCCTTGAATTTACGTGTCTCATACTACATGCTGAACTCCATGCTATGATTATATACTAAGGATATCTGCACACATCTACCAGATCAAAGCTTTTAGGGTACTGATGCTGTCAGTCAGTCTAGCTTCTGGATTTTGGGTGCTGATGCGCTCAACATTCTTAGTTTGGATAGCCCTGAGCATGCAGCACAGAACTGTAGACCCCTAGCAAACATTCAGCTCAGGACTGAGTGCTTTCTGAGGTAGGGCTTTTTGGTCTGAATTTTGAACATAGGTGCCCAAAGTTTGCATAATTCCTTTTTTTTTTAGACACTGATTTCTTTCTTTGGGTCTGACACAAAATCTACGTTTTTGATGTAGAGCTTGATGAAGAAGTTCACTTTCGACTTGAATGGTACACATTAAATAGAGCTCTGGAGCCAAACATTAAATAGGGCGTAAGGGAATTAAAAAATGTGGATAAGGATCCATTCATTAAACCAGGCAGACGTCCTTGGAAAATGAAAATATATAACTCTGTAATTAAAGATTGTATCATAGTACAGACACAGAAAAAATGAAAATTGTCTGCACAGACATGTTTTAATGATGGGATTTCCTAATTTTTGAGTTCTTAGTGTAGCATCATTGCTGCTTTATTATGTTTTATTGAATGTAATTTTATAATTAAAAAACAATCCAAATCATAATAAACATTACTATATTTAGAACCCCATTGACCCAAGCTTAGAGCTTCTACAGGACTTGAACCGTTAGATCCACAATGCTAACGGTACTCAGTAACAATAAAAAGCTGTTGTCTTTTATGTGGAAAAGCCTCAGAAGCAAAAAGTATTTCCACACAGGTTACTATTTTGCTGTAAAATGTTGGTGAAGATGAGGTGTATATAGCTTTTACCTGTTGGCACTTAGGTGAGATTGATGCTGTATCTCTGCCTGTGGTTAATCCCCTTCTAGTTAAAGCAGTAAAAAAGCTGCTTTGCCCTCTCTCCACTCAGAGCCTGTAGGGAGAGAGCTAATGTGTATTAGTTACATCACTGTAAAAGCATCTCTTTCTGGCAGTGAAGTGGGCCATATGTGTGAGTGGGGAGTGTTCACAGCTGACAGCAGAACAATTTAGAGACACTGGAGTCCTGGATTCGGTCCCAGATTCCGAAGGGGCATAATGATCTAGTGCTTACACACCATTTTGTACCTGTGCTTTAGCCTCTCTCTCTTTTCTCTTCGGCTTTTGTTTTTCCTCTCTGTAATTCTTGCTGCCCGTGCATCTACTGCCATCCCTTTCCAACATTTCACTTTTGCCCCTTCTGTCCTATGGACCTCTATATCACTTACCTCCATTTCACTCTCCCTTTTCACGTACATACTCTTATTTTCCCTGTCACCTTTACTTCATTAGCTTCTGGTTTTTTACCTCTCAGTGATCTAATCAACTTGTTAATCCGTTTCTTCAGGGCCTGGTAGAGGCATCTGAAGCCCTCTTCATTTTCCATGCCTGCAACCCTGTTTCAGAACATGCTTAGTATAAATCTCCCAAGCTCAAACATGTGTGTATTCAATATAACTCCAAGGATATAGCATTAAAGACCTTGCTTTAAAATTGCCACTTTACTGTAAAAAACATCTTTTAAGAAATTAAAAAAAAAGAAATGTATGTTTGTTTAAACAGTAAAAATGAATAAAATGTTGTAGGCTACTGGCAGCTGAGCTTTTTCATGAGAAATACTGTATTTTGCAAAGTTAATTACAGTTGTAGTGAAAGATGTTTGTATGCCAGCATTTATATAGTGAATATATATATGCACAAATATACAAACACTATTTCTATATAAAATATAAATTTAATTAAATAATTTACTGATGACGAGGTTTGTGATTTATTTTTATATTTCTACTTTTTAGTATTTGATTGATTCTTTGGAACCATACATAATAAATGAAAACATCAAACCTTCTCCCACTTGGAATTCAATGGAAACAGCCAATGAATTATATGAAGGTTCGGCTGAAATGTTTTCCAGCATTCAGACAGATTCCCCAGTAATATTTACAAGTGTATCTGGTGATAATTTGCATGCAATAAATGGAGTGGAAGAATTACATTCTGCTTTGGGTAAGATGTTTTAGGATATTTTTCTACCTGCTCCCTTGTTCTGAAGGACCCCCATCACTGTCCCAGATATGATCTTTAGCACATGCTTCAGGCAAATTATGAATGGGTCATTTGCTGGAGTCGGATTTTTTTACTACCAAATAACCTTCTGAAGCAGATGGGAATGCCACACAGGCAGGAACTAGCCCCTTGTCACCCAGCTGACCTTCTTCCTAGTGAAAGGAGCACCCGAAAGCCATCAGCCAAGCTGCATAGACAATCAGTTATTACAGTTGCCAAAGCAGGTGTGATTGTCAGGGATTAACATATCTCCAAGCTCTTCAGAGACCTTGATTTCTCTAAGCCTTTTGACTAATAGGTTTTCAAATGTCAGCGAAGGTAAATAGGTCAAAAAGTTACAACTTTGCTATATGGGTGACAAACAGGTGGAGATGACCCCGTGACATGGTGATGTCATTAGTGTGTACACTTGTTCTGTATTATCAATGGACCAGTGTTTCTTTACCGAGTATGGATATTTACAAATCATTAAGCAGGCCTCAGTTGACAGGCAGGGACTTAAAATACCACTCTAAATTTTTTTTGAACAATGGGGAGAAAGTCAAGTTTTTATTTTTTAATTTTTTTTATTAAAGTCACCGAATTCTTCCATATACACCAGTATCTAAAACCAGAATTTAATCCATTAGTTTAAACTACAGTGGATTTTTTCTGTACTACATTAATCCTAAAGAATCTTCTTTGTCATACAGAGAAAACGTACAGTGCTTTAAATGTGAATCTTCTTTTTATGGCCTCATTCAGCTTGAGGTATTGAGTTGCTAAAAGATGTCTGTGTTGCTGAAAAATTGATTTCAGGCAGCGTCTGTTGTAATCTAGCATATGAGGATTATTTTTTAGTAGTTATTATAGTAGTTAAAGCTGTTGACAGCCATATTTTCAACAGGGTCTGCTGATTTTTAGGTGCCTTCATTTTAATGCTGGTCTCACAAAACCCTGAGACTGATACTTAGATAAGTGAAGCACCCACACTTTTTCATGTTGTAGTGGCATAATGGCTGCTTTATAACAGAACATTTTGACTAGCACAGTTGGATGGTGGCTGACTTTGAACTTTATTGCAGATGCACGAAAAACTCTGTGGGCATGTATGACTTCTTCATTCTGCTGAGCACAACTCTTCTGCTAAAAATACCAAAGTGAAGGGATCTGTGGGGGGAGCCTTTTCAAGTATAGTTCTTATAGCACTGTTGCACCATTGGGAAGGCAAGGAAGAAGGAATCTTTCTCAACTGAAGAAAAAAACAAACAAACAAACAAACAAACCAGAAACAATGAAACTGAAAGCTCCATCAGCCTAAGAGCCATGGTTCTGAAGTCACTGGAGAGACTCGGCCATATACAAATAGGCCTTTTCCTAATTCCTAGAGGATTTCTCTCAATGTTTTTTTGAGCTAGCTGTCAATATAAACCTCATGGTTTTGATTCTTGCCCGTTCTTCTTTCACCTAGGCCAATCTATCTACTTTACACATGAAAATGGACCTTTAATAGCCTCTGCCTGTTTGAGTTAAGAGGTGGAGTGTAAATTTTTCTTTATATTTTTGTAATTGCCAGGAAGGTTAATTCTTTTGCAATAGAATAGTTCCAGGTTGCCATGTCAAAGTGAGTTTAGAATGCAAAAGAAAAAGAATTAGTTTACAAGTAAGTAACTATTTCTCTCCATTTAATCACAGATAATCAGTATACCATTAATATTTTGGCTGAAGAGCTGTCATATGTTATAAAGGGCCTTGCACCTTTCACAGACTACACAATCGGTGTATCTGCTTTCACTGCTGTTGGAGAAGGACCACCATCGGTTCTTATGGTCAGGACACGAGAACAAGGTAAGATGTAACTGATATTATCAAAGTTAACATACATGACTTCTTTCACGGAACATTTTTTTTTTAAATAATTTATTTACTTACTGTTATATTTTTCTGTTTTCTTTTAAGTTCCAAGCTCAGTACAAAATATATCTTACAAGAATATCAGCTCCTCCTCTGTTGTACTGTATTGGGATCCTCCAGCAAATCCCAACGGGAAGATCATTCATTATACTGTTTATGCGATGGAACTGGATACAAAAAAAGCATTCCACACAACAACTTCAAACAATAGCATACTTATGACAGGTACAGTGTCGTTTGATTTAAAAAAAAAAAAAAGTTGCAAATACGTTAGACAAAATTATTTTTTCCAACTTTATGCCATATAGCCGTTTGCAAGGTAAGTGGACCAAATCTCTCCCGCCCACACACACACACATCACAACTGGATGTAAAAGTGAGGCTGGGACACTACTGACAAGCTTGTCTACTGTGGGGGGGGGGGG